TCTTGACAGCCTGCGGCAGTGTGTGACTGGCATTACCAAAAAAAGATTGCACAATTGACTGGCAGCAATCACTGAAAAAAATCTGGTCAAGTATGCCATTTTCATGACTCAGACGTGTTTCAAGAGCGTTCTCAAGTGTTAGTCACTAACGGACCTTTAAAAGCTTAGTATCCGTGCTGCGCTTAAGCTAGTTTTGGGAACACGAGGAGCGGGAAATGTATCGTCGCCTGAGCATATCTGAACCCCATAGGAGTGCCTATCCAAAGTCAATTTTGAAGTGCAAGGCCCCAGTTTGCACTAGAAATTAGCCTTAACCTGCCAAATAACACATACTATTTTCCATCACTAAGGCATAAGCGCACTAGGAGGCCACTCAGTTGTCCCCCTCCCTTCTCTTCTCTTCAGCGCCAGCCGAGAGGACAGATGGAGTTAGGTACCCACGTGAATGCCACCTTCCTGGGTAATGATCCAATCAGCGCAAAGCGAATCTTCACCGTGACGGAGGCGACCAAACTGCAGGCTGTGCCCTTGACACCAATACCGACGCCTCAATCGGAATGATGTGTTTGCTCTCGCTGAGGTCCCGTATGCCATCCGTGCCGTTGCTATCACCGACAGAAAATCGTACAGCCGAAAACAAGTTGCTGCTCTCGTTGGGACCTTTGAAAACCTTTTTTTCACAAGTTCCCTGACTCTATCTACCTCTTTTTCTTCACAAACATCCTACACCACTCAAAATTAGATTGAAAATGCTGGTCTTTACCTAACCAATGTATTTTAGAAATGAAATAATGCGGGATAAGAACTGCAGTTCATATGCAGTGGGACCTTAGTTCAGGCTTTAACTCCGTTCCTGCACCGACTTCGTCATCTGAAACGCTCGACTTGCGAAGCGTAACCAATCAAACTGCACCAGTTTACTGACAGGCTGCAGGCGACCGAGGACCGGCGCGCTGAGAGCGGGACTCAACTCTGGATACGGGCGCGCACTGAAAGCTCGTAAGCCGAGCGGAATCTCGTCAAGCGAAACACATTTTCTACGAATGATTCGGTCGTTGTCTGAAATGCTCGTAGATGGAGCTATCGCGAATTGTTAAGGCTATTGAGGTTTAACCCTAACGGCTGCGATCTTCCAGGTCCGGTTCCTTAGGAGCGGACAGAAGTCTTGGGAAGGCCAGAGTAGTAGGAACAATGTATTGTTTACAGAAAAGTTGGGGGGAAAGTTGCCACTCAGTCCTGCATGGCGTTCACTCGCAAGGAAGCGAGGCGCCGTCGCGTCC